AGATTGGCAGCTAGGTCTCATAATTTCGCTGTTGAAATTGTTACATATAACCATAATATATGCTAATAATTTCTTCACCCACACTGCTCACGTGTGAAATACTCTTCCGGCTTCTTGCTTTCCTATCAAATTTTTCTAGTATATGCAGTGTGAATTTAAAACGTTGGCGATTATGGCTCTCCACAATTTCCTGTTATTTGTAGCTCTTAATAAATTTTGTCATTTTGTTATCTCTTCTAAGCTTTATTCTGCCATCCATTTACCTAAACCCGTTAAGTAGGCTATGCGCTGTTTTCCTCTGTACTTCTTGCCTTCACTGTGTGCTGTGAGTATCAGATTTTCCAAGTACTCTTTCCTCATCATTTACCCTGAACATTTCAGCTGTCTCTTTCTGATACTAAGTATAAGTTTCATTTTTCTTTCTATTTTCGCTAAAGCATAGTCGTTGCTCATATGTTCAAGTATTCTCAGCATCCTTCTGTAGCACCACATTTCTGTTGTTTCGTGTTTTTTCTTCATCTATCAAGCATTCACTGCCATATAAAAGACCGATATTTACATAACAGCGAATATCTCTATTTTTTCCTTCTAACGAAATTTTCCTGTTTCTTAATAATTTCCTTAGATTTTGGAAGGCATCTTTCGCTATCCCAGTGCGTCTTCAGATTTCAGTTTCGTTTTTTTTTCCATCTTCTGTTAAAAAAACTTCCCAGATATTTAAATTGTTGTACTTGCTTGATTTTAGTATCTCCATTTTGTAATTTGTATGTTGGGTTAACAAGAGATTCAGGAATGCAGTTGCTCACTTCCAAACCCATCCAAGTGCCGACTGCGGAAGTGATCATCTTCCCTCTTAGATGTAAACTAAGAATGAAACTATGGAAACTAAAGAAGCCTAACGCAGTGCCAAAATTGCAGCACAACTGACTCCTGAACGGTCCGAACCCGAAGAAAAAATATATGGGCGGTGTGTAAAGAAGATACGAGGGACAAAATGGAAGCGTAAACTTGAAATGGGACACACTAAGAGAAACTTTAGCAAACGAGATCATTCTGAAGGAAAATGGATTAAGAAAAAACGAATGGATGGCAAATGAGATTCTCGACATGATGCAAAGAAGACAGAAAACAATGCCAGGAAACGGAACAGAATATAAAAACTACGCAAATAAATAAGGAACAAATGCAGACAAGCTAAAGAAGAATGGCTCAACGAAAAATACGCGGAAATAGAAAGACAGAGATAAGCTTAAAATAAATCCAGCGCGACATGCTCATCAACAAGCTTCATAATATCCAAGGATAGAACGCTGATATTAGAGAAAGAGAAAATACAGACTGAATGAATATATATGAAAGAGAACAACCGGCAATAATAGAAATATCGACGGACCGGAAATATTAAACAAAGCGGCAGGGCCAGACGGAATTGTAATAGAGATGCTGGCAGATTTAGACGATATCGGCATAGACAAGATCAGAGAAATAATAAATTAAATCTACAACAGCAGGGATATACCGGAAGAACTAAGCAGATCTATTTTCATAGCACTGCTTAAGAAACAAGGCGCAAACGAATGTGAATTCCACTAAACAATCAGCCTAAAGAGCCACATAACAAAACTCATCATCCAATTTCTGTTGAATAGAGCGCGCAAAAGAATCAGGCCAGAGATAAGACAAGAACAGTGCGGGTTGGTCAAAGTCACCGGAAGAAGTAATGCTACCAGAAAGAACAATACAAACGCAGAAGGACGTGTTCGTGTGTTTTATAGATTACACAAAGGCGTTCCACAAACTAAGCCACGTAGATATGTTACAGCTGCTCAGTAACCTTGACATAATAATCAAGAATCTATATTAGCGGCAAACCTCCTGCATACGGACAGAAAATGAGTTCAGTAGTTATACAAAAATATTAAGTGGGGTAAGACAAAGTTGTGTCTTCTAACCGGATTTATTCGACTCATACAGCGAGGCAATTCTGAGAGAATTAGAAGTCCTACCATGATTGGGGGCACAATCTTAAAAATTAAAAATATGCAGATGACACAGCGCATACACAGAAAGGAAACCACAAATGTCCCTACAAAAAGTAACGAAAGAAAGTGAGAAGAAAGGACTAAGCATAAACTACAGAAGACAGAATGTTGATTTTCTAAGCGTAGCTAAGATGTAGCACAGGGCCGAAAGTATGCGAAAGTATGGGCCACCTAGTGAGGATCGAACTCCCTTTTCAGTTGTAATTGATCTAGCGAGACAAGCTTGCTAACTATTACACTACGTCGAAGAGGCCAAGAAGACATAATGCATGATTATCAGCAAAAGATTGAGCCCAAAATGTAAATTACAGGTCGGGCATACTAAATTGAAGGAGGTACAGAAATTTAAGTGTCTGGGAATTGAGATCCGAAGATATGGAATGGGGACAAAGATGCATTCCAAAAGCTAAGCAGAGTATTAAGAGAAGAGAAATTTTATTAGAAACAAAGAAAAAAAATATTGAACTGTTACGTGATATCTGTCCTCCTGTATGGCAACGAATGCTGGACAATCTCCTCAAAGATGAAGAGACTTGAAGCAACAAAAATGTGGTTCTACAGAAAGATGATGAGGATACTATGAGCTGAACATGTGAGCAACACCGAGGTTGGAGAGAATGGAAACAAAGAAGAAACATACGTAACATCAGGAAGAGGCAGTTCAAATTTCTGGGGCACGTACTGAGGTAGGAGGGCTTGAAATATTTGATATTCACAGGACAAATAGGGGGGGAGGGTCAAAGGTAAGCAGCGCGTCACATACTTGATGGGCTTGAGCAAGTGGATGGCGGAACAGGGTTTGTGAGAAGTAACAAAAAGACACAGAGCTACAAGGGACAGGAGGATGTGGAGGACCATGATCGCCTACGTCCTGAAGGGTCATGGTACATAAAATAAGAATGTTGGGTTGTTCCTTTTACTAACAACCATAGATTCTGTCTTACTGTAATTAATGTTTTTTTTTTTTTTTTTCGTTTACATCCTCTCCCTTCTATAGAAATTCGTACAGTTTCATCTCTGTGTTTGTTATTAACAATGTGTCATTTACGTATCTTGTATTGTTAGGATTGTGGCCGTCACAGCTGCAATTTTCAAAAATTTAAATGCAATATCAATTGTTATTTTCTGTCTCCTTGAATTCTATTCTTTTTTTCTATTGTCCTCTCTTTTTCTTTCAGTGTTAGTAATTCTTTGCTTTCTTATTGGTTTTCATCGGCTTGGCTATGGGGAAATGAATTTTAATAAATCTAATCTGACTCATGACTATAACAAATTAAGTATAGGAGAAAAAGTAATTGAACGTAGAATAGGTTTTGTGCCAGATGTAGTTTCACCCAACACCACCAATTGCTACGAAACCAAAACATTAACCGGAAAACTCGAGTCATGTTCTTAAATAGCTTCGTCAGATCGAGACTTTCATATGAATATCATGCCAAACCCGTTCAGAAATATCTAAACTGTCAGCTGTATACAACCGCTTCCTAAGATCAATGGTGAACAAAAGGCTTTGAGTCAGTAAAATCTGAATGTCTTGGCAAAGATCATCCTTCTTTGAACATTGTGGACTGACGCTATAGAATACCAAAGAACTGTACCAAAATAACAGAAACCGCATCACTTAAGGACTACCAACAGCAACAACAAATAAAACAGGTTGTAACTTGAAGAGAAAATAATGACATAATCAAGATTCCTCACCACTTCAAATAAAAGGTTAGGAAGGAAACCCCTGTCAATAGTAAAAAGAGCGATAAAAACTATTGGACTTGAGAAACCTGTTTTCCTGAAAAAATGTAATAGAAAGATTTTATAAATTTCAACCGAAAACATAACTGGCTTCTCGGTCAATAAATGCTAAATGTTTCCTTATTGGGAAATGGCTAATAATGTCATTACCATAGTCAAGAAGAGATTAGATGGTTTGAATCTATTATTTTCTCATTGTGATATTCCTGATGAAGTTTGCAATATCTCAGTATATAAATGAACAAATAAAAGGCTCGATAGCCACTCTGTGTAATATTTATTCGTAACATATGTTACGATCGGCGCCATATAAATATATATATATTTTTTACACTATTTACATTTTTCCGACTGGTGTCCTCATCTTTATTGGCGTATTTACGACAATTCGGCTTTTGTACGCTCCAGGCTTTTTCAGGCGATATTTTCGTTCACCAGGGTAGATTGTTCTAGTTCCACGTGCCATGCCTTTCACTTTCAGTTATTTCCCTTTCCTTTAACTTTCGAAATGTTGTAAGAGAAACATTTTTATAAATTTCAAACGAAAACATAACTGGCTGCTCGGTCAATGAATGCTAAATGTTTCCTTATTGGGAAACGACTAATAATGTCATTTCCATTACCATAGTCTAAGAAGAGATTAAATGGTTTTGTGCTCTTATTTTCTCCTTCTGATATTCCTGATGAAGTTTAAAATGCTTCAGTATTGCCGTCCTTACCAGATATGTACATCTATGTATTATTTCTCTAACAGATCTCGACAGCTCTAATCAATATTTGTACCCTTACTATCGCCCCACCCAGTTACTGTTCTGATATCTATTTACACAAGCGTGTTTGGTAGGTTATCCAATAAAAGGCTTGGCAGCCACTCTTTGTCAATCTTGTTCGTGCCATATGTTATATATGCGTAATGTAAATATTTACATTGTTAGGAATATTGGCCTTATCTTTATTGTTATATCCACGACTTTTCGCTTGTTGTACGATCCAGAATTCTTCAGGCGATATACGCATGAAATTTCGTATTGAACCCTCTATTAAGCCCACTGGGGTAGATGGTTCCAGTTCCACGTGCCGGACCTTTTTTCTGGATATCTCAGTTTCAGTTGTTTCCCTTTTCTTTTATTTTCGAAATTAACTGAACCGCCTTCGATTCATATTTGCGTGTCTATTTAAAAAGAAAACCTCTTACATCTTTTATTTCAGCACCTTCATTTCCGCTGTCAGCAAACCCTTCGTGCAGTGACCTTAGTGTTTCAAGAGAAGGCCATCTGGTCACGCCAGGCTATCCACAAACACATTATTCGAATAATGAGGTGAGTAATTCAAGATATATTATAGGTTTACGTGGAAGATTAGTATAACACAGTACAAAACAGAATGAAATGAACCAGTCGTTGAGACAATCGTTCAAATGAGAATAGCTTCTTTGCCCTTTTGTTCTTTTTTAATCATTTCACCTTAGACAAGGTAGTAAAGCCACTAAGATGTAAGGGTTACTGATTGTCAACGATTATGAGAAAAAGTATTATTAAAGAGGGACACAATAAAAGAGACTAAAAAGACAGAAGATGACGATTGACATTGCATTTACATTTTTGAAGATCAAAGTTGGCCGGAATGCAAGAAGCCGGAAGAGAGTTCCTGAAGCAAGAAGTATGAAAAGAGAAACTGTTAGGATAGAACTTGCGGTTACATCTATTCAACTGTAAAATGATGTTACCTTGCTGCCAATCTAGTACTGCTCTTAAATTCATAAAGTCTTGATACCAAAGAGGGAAGTAATATTGGTTTTGTAAATACAAAAATATGACACAAGGGGGGGTGCGTGAAGGCTGGTCTTCAATTTGTCTTATCTTAAACTTAACTTGCCACAATTACTGACCCAAACATACGACAGTATTCCTTATATTTTTCCGGTTTTCGTCAGGTGTATATTGGTCTGAGTAACCTACAGTAACCTTGACGAATCAAGCCGAGCTTCTCGAGTTGACGGTCGAACTTTCTGCCTCTGAGCAGAAAGGAACCCGGACGAGGTTCCGAAGGGCAGAATCTCGTTCGGGGAGAAATGACCAACCCGATCTCGTTTTTACGAGTTATACGGGCATTTTTTGCCCGAGCCTACGGGCTCGGAAAACCCACGATAAACTCGGCCTTGTGCCACATGCAACCATCGTGGGGGGGTGCTAGATACCGTAACCTACAGGATCCCACGGGACAATAGCCTAGTAGATTAAAGCGTTGGTTCTTGAATTTGGTGAAATATTAATTGTTCAATCCCTGGATCGGGCAGTGGAAACGGGGATGGCAATAACTGAGCTGTATTAAAAATAAAAGTTATGCGAGGTATCCCTAGAGATCAACAGCAGAATGAGAACAGTCTACCCTCGTAGATTAAATAATGGTTCAGTTCAATCTGTATTCAACTGATACTACAGCCACCATCCTCAGGAGAAAGGGGTAGTAATCCTCGATCGAATATCAGAGAAGATCGATAATATTCTATCTCAGTTCCCTTCGGCCAGCTTTCATACCTTTGGGGACTTCAATATCTACCATAAAGAGTGGCTAGTCCAAAACCGATGTTGAAAGCAGATATTGCAGAGACTTTTCCGTCGCCTATGAACTAACCTAGATCATCGGAGAACCTATCCGGGTCCCGGACACGACGCGGCATCAGGAGAACCTCTGCCCTGATAAATGCTTATCAAAAGCGTTACCTCCACTAGGTACGTCAGACTATTCCCCAATCACTACCCAGATTGATGCCAAACAGTCAACCCAAGTTCAACCCGGAATGCGCTACAGATAAAACTCACCGAAACCACTACTTCAATATCTATCGCAAGGAGGGAAATAGTTCGGCCCACAATGCATTCAGAACTGCTTTCAATCAATGGAAAAATTTTCTAGAAAACGCCAAATGCAGCTACGCACGAGCAGTCCAGACCAAGGTTGAAAAGAAACAACTTGGATTCCGTGAATTCTGGAAGATCACCAACCAAATCATGAACAGAGGTAAAGCGACAGTACCCACAATTATAAATGGCCCCGAGGTCATTATCTTCCTCGACAGATAAGGCGAACCTCTTCGCCTCCATTTTTGCCTCTAACTCAACGTTAGATAACAATGACCATCCCCTCAACAGGTTCCTACATCTCACTGCGCACACTAGTAATATTACTATCACAGTACGAGAAGTCCCTTAACTTATCAAAGGCCTTGACCTTAAAAAAGCCACTGGTTCAGACAAAATTCCAATTAAGAACATCAACCCGGAATTATCCCCAGACCTAGCAAAGTTATTCAACAGCTACTTGAAAGAAGAAATGCTACCCAAGCCTGTGGAAGTTGTCTAGAGTATGCCCGGTTTTCCAGAAGAAGGTCGTTGAGCACCTAGGAAAACAACCTTCTCAGAGACGAGCAGTATGGGTTTCGGTTGGTCCGATCCACTGCAGACGCCCTAACTACCATCACACAGAATCAGTAAGTCTCTTGAGGACAAATACGCCTTCATAACACTGAAGGGGCTTCGACAAGGTGTGGTACAAAGGCTTACTAAACAACCTCTCCAGTAAAGGAATCGTCGAAAGTGTCTTCACGATCATGAAATCCTTCCTAAAAGGTAGGTCCCTGAAAGTAGTTATCAATGGTTAGTTCTTCGGAGCCTAAGATGTCAACGTAGGCGTCCCCCAGAGATCACTCCTCAGACCAACATAAATGATCTGCTTAAGAATATACTCAGATCATTTTTAAACATCTATGCCGATGATAAGCGTGTATGCATGAATATTTTTATTTAAATCCTGACATACATTCCATATAATTGGAATATGTATGTCAAAACCAGTACTTAGCCACCAACAACTCTGTATTATATTTTTTTAATTTTCTAAAATCATGGCATTTTAAAAAGAGTTTAAACCAACCGAATGGAACAAAGAAGAATACCAAAACAAATGAGAATTTGCGAGAAAAATAATCTTTCGCGAAGTGTTTAATCCTAATCGACTTTTGTTGTTGTTGTTGTTTTTTTTTTTTTTTTTTTGTAATCTTTTAAGCCAAAATAAAGGCTTAAAAAAGCATTCGATTTGAAAATGTAAAGAAAATCTGGTTTTATAATCCTCAGCTATAACGATACACCATAGAATTTCTGTAGGTCTCACTTTTGTAATGTAGTTAGACAAGAAATGGAGATCTTACATTTTAGCGTCCGAAATTATCGCAGCTGTTTTGATAATAAAATACTCATTAAGCAGATATCAACCCGAATAAAAACATAGCATTAAAAGGCGTATAATCAAGCAGACATATTAAATACTTTTGCTTATACGAATTTACTAAACTTACATTGCATACTGTCGAGATACATTGGTCCTGATCTGTGGCACCTCGGCTTGAGTCACTTTCCCACTGTCGCTTCGGTTGCCGGTTGCTTCTCTGTGTCTTTTCTATAAATACTTTCATGGTAATTGTTCAGATGAGCTCTTTGCTATAGTAAATTAAAATCCAAAATTAGAACATTTGCTGCGGATTATAGTCGTCGGCTCAATCTAGATAGATTAGCGGCGCAAACGGCTTTAGAGCAGAAAGTGGATCGGGCGGTCAAATCCCGTGATAGCGGGGAAATAGCCTTAGCTAAGGCGGAGTTGGCCTCCTTGCTTATCAAGAAGGATCAAGCTCTGGTAGTTAGGGCTAGGTTAAAAAGAATGTCCTCTGATGCGACGAATATGGCCACTGAATTGCGTGCAGAGGAGGCTCGGAATGCATCTCAGCGACATATCGCGAGCGTCACATTGCCGGATAAGCGGATCGTGACAACAAACGAGGGCATATGTGAGGTTTTTCGTGACTACTTTCAGGAGCTTTTCACCAGGGAGCCCGGTCTGAGCCCTGCTCAGTTCGACACCTATTTGGCTGACTTTCCCTGCCTCGAGGCAGCTGAAGCAGCTAGGTGCGAGGGCCCAATTACAGAGTCGGAAATCTGGGAAGCGTTGAAACAGGTTGGCCTGGACAAATCTCCAGGACTTGATGGTCTTCCGTACGAAGTGTACTTGAGGCAGTCGCCCGTTTTTGTTCCGCTGCTGGCTCTGATTTTCGGCAACTGGATGAAGCAGGAGTCTATACCCCAACGCTTCACCAGGGGCGTGATCAAGTTGTTACGCAAAAATAAAAACGGTGGGGATGGGTTAGGTAACTTTCGCCCTTTAACTATGTTAAACACAGAGTTAAAGATTTTGGCTAAGATCTTGGCTAACCGTTTGCAGGCTGTCCTGTCTAGTCTGATTGGCTCGGAACAGACTTGTGCTGTGAAGGGCAGGACTATTCTGGACAACCTTCATATGGTGCGCCTGATCATCGAGCAAGTTGACAGTGAAGCCGCGCTGATCAATTTAGATCAGTCCAAGGCCTTCGATAGGGTTGACCATCGCTTTCTGGAGGCTGTTCTTTCGGCGGCCGGTTTCGGGCCGTACTTTCGCACCTGGATCCGACTTCTGTATGCGACTCCCGGTGCGCTGGTGGAGGTGAATGGGGTACGATCGGAGCCTTTCGTATTGTCTCGCTCCATTCGTCAGGGTTGTCCGCTATCGCCGTTGCTTTACGTTCTTGCGTTGGAACCTTTCCTCCGCAAGTTAAAGGCGAATCCGGTCCTGCTCGGAATTGCCCTGCCCGGTGGTAGCACATCGGCCAGGTATTCCGCCTATGCTGACGACGTTTCGGCTCTTGTGTCGAGCAGAGCCGAGATTGACGAAGTCAGCAAAGAAATCAGTTGTTATGAGATAGTGACAGGGGCCAAGATCAACCGCGATAAGTCTGTTGGCTTGCGGTTGGGTGCGTGGAAGGGAGTTTCTCTTCCCGGACCTTTCCACTGGACGGATGGGCCGGTCAAGATTCTCGGCGTCTGGTTCGGTCCTGATCTCCAGTTGGAGATGAATTGGTCGGAGGTGCGAGGGAAGGCCGTGATCGCAATTAATTTGTGGTCTCGGAGGAATCTTTCCTTAAAGGGGAGGGCCGAAGTTTGTGTTTCACACATCTACCCGATTCTCCTTTACCGACTCTCTGTGCTTCCACTTCCGTGTGACACTTTACTGGCGTTAGTGAAGCTCTTGTTCTCCTTCTTGTGGGGAGGCAAGGCTGCCAGAGTCAGTCGGGAGATCTGTTGCCTTCATCCATCTGAAGGCGGTCTGGGCATGCCAAGCATTGAGATTCGTCAATATATGCTTCGCATTAGCTTTCTGGATCGAATGTGTCGCGATTCGGATGAGGAGGGCGCCTTCTGGAAGGAAGACGCCCGTAAGAACTTCCCATCCCTGAGAAGTGTGCATTCGTGTGAGGAGGAGGCCCGCCGTTTATCCCGAGCCGAATGCTCCTTCTATCGTGAATGTCTTATTGCTCTGAAGCGCCTCTTACGGGCGTCGGATGGCCTCTCCAACGTCCAGGCGTTGTCTCGTAGGGCATTATATCAAGTTTTAGTCAGGGGGCCGTGCATGATGATCTGATTGACGAGCTCGGTTTGACGAGGCAGCAGGCTCGCTCAATATGGCCTTTGGCGCCTGGGTTGAAATGCCTCAATAACGATGAGGCATCACTCACCTGGCTGGTGATACGTAGGGCCCCTCTGGGTCGCCAAGAGACTCTGCTCAGCTGGCTTGGAGAATTCTACAAACTGCCGACGTTGTAGTGGGGAGGTCGAGACCTTGGGTCACGCCTTTTTTCATTGCAGCCAGGTAGTGCCGTTGGTCAAGTTTGTTGAAGGCCTCATGGTCCGCATGCTGCAGGGAAAGTCCTTTGTCCTTCAGTCCGTTTCCGTTTGTAGCAATGTGGCACCGCCGCTGACGAAGGCTTAACAGTATGTGTTCCACTGCTTGCTAGGTGTTATGAGAGTCGTGATTTGGACGACACGTCAGAAGGGATTCTATGGAGGCGAGAAGTTCACCTCTTCCCAACTGATCTTAAAGTCAAGATTAGGACGGAAAGGCGGCGGCTCACTTCATCGGAATTCAGCAAAAGGTGGGTGAATCTTGCGCGCTTGTGTCGTGTGAAAGGAGCTGACTTTGAGTGGCTCATTGATGCCGGTTAGGCATCAGGATATTGCTCTTCCTGGGATGAACTTGTGCAACCCATCCTGAAACTAGGCTAGCTTAGGTTTTCCTTTTTGATGGTTTAGTTTCCTTTTCAGTTAACTTAGCTAGGGTATGTATGCTCATTGGCCCCTTTTATTTCTGTCCCCATTTGTTTTTTCCTTAAGTTTAATTCCCCATCCCCTCTCTCGTTAGGTGGTCAGTGATGTCAGTTCGCTGGTGGATGCGGGGCGCCTTTCGTTTTCGTGTGAGTGATTTTTTCGTATTTGTTGTTGTGTCTGAATGAGTGCATGTCAGTGTGAGTGATTGGGATGAATGAATGGTTTATACTATTATAGTCCCGCATTGATTTCGGCCAGTGAAGTGATGTTTCTGTCACATTTAGTAATTGTGGGGGTTTTATTACTAATCTTATTTTCTTTAGTTTCTTGTAAATAGTTTTTTGTATGCATATTGTAAATACTCATTGGAGTTAATTTTTAGAATTGTTGTTTTATTCCCCTCCCCCGACAGACCACGAATTGTAAATATGGGGACTAGTTAGTATTTTCATAGAGACAAAGAGGTATTATGGTGGTTGTAGTAAGAAAGGTACGAATGAATGTGTTGTTTTGGTGTAAGGAATATTGTTCTATACGATTGGGTCAGTGTTTGCGGCTAGCTAAGTTATAGTTAAGACAGAAGAAGACCGTCCTTTCCCCAATCCCCTTTTCGGCCTTGTGCCACATTTCTGTATTAAACAGAATAAATATCGCTCTTTGCTATAGTAAATACTCATAATAAATAAATTGTACATATGGGGACTAGTTAGTATTTTCATAGAGACAATGAGGTATTATGGCGGATGTAGTAAGAAAGGTACGTATGAATGTGTTGTTTTGATGTTAAGAATATTGTGGTATGGTTGGGTCACTGTTTGTGGCTAGCTAAATTTTAAGTTAAGACAGAAGAAGACTGTCCTTTTCCCCCATTCCCCAGTTTGGCCTTGTGCCGCATTTGTAAATATTTACAAATAAATAGCGAGGTGCCATAGCTCGTCGTTATGCCACGTAGACATTTTTAATTTAAATGCAGTACTAGACTGACTTCGAGATCTAGCCTTAAGTTCTATGCTAACAGTTTCTTTTCTTGCTTGTGGAACTCCCTACCTGCTCCATGCATTCCGGCCAACATTAATCTGCAAATAATTAGATGGCAATGTCATTCGCTATCTACTGCCTTCCTGATGACTCTTTTCTGTTTCCGTTCGTTATTAATGTTTCTGTACCTAATTCTTCCACACCCGATAACCTTTAGTGTTTTAGTGGTTTTACTGCATTCCATCGAGTGATACCGATTAATATATATATATATATAATAAAAAGGCTTAAACACTAATATTCCATGGAATAAATTATGACCATGGAATATTAGTGTTTAAGCCTTTTTATTATATCCTTACTCTGTCCTAGACATTGAGTTCTACCTGGATTCTTCCTCTTGGAAAAATTTTTTTCTGAAAATATACATGTATGGGTATTTATATATTTTGCATATGTATGTATATTTTCCTAATTTATATATATATATATATATATATATATATATATATATATATATATATATATATATATATATATGTCCGTTTTCAAGACACGGTGAAATGTAGGTCCCCAGCTTTTGTGTTTATAAACTGACTAGCGTTTCGTGATATTTCGAAACCAGTGTGCTTTGTTAAGTATTTTATTATACTGTGTGTGGTCGTGTTCTTTAGTATGTATTACAGAATAACCAAACGGAAACAAAATGGCGACGTTAACGAGAAATCAAAGCGAGTGAAGATAATGATACAACAATGCAACAGTGAAAGTGTTACGAAGTATAAAAGCTAGACATTTGGTATGTAGGTAGATTTTTTTTTCTTAGATAGGTATATTTATTTCGAAATTAAATTAATAAAAATACAAACAGCAATAAAAAAAATTATTTTATTTATTTATTTAAGAATTACTTGTTGAAAAAGCAAATGATGAAATTTGGGTCACTGAACAAGAAAAATTTCGCTTTCAAAAATAACAACCTCTTTTTCACTCTTTCTCCCTCTTGGGTGTAGTTTACATGTTCGTTCTTTGAATGTCTCCCAAAGGGTTGATAAGCCGTAAAAAATCATTTAGTCAATTTCGAATCCAAACAAGATTTCAGAATATAAAATGAGTCACCAAACTTTTCACTCGCAAAAAAGTAAGATTTAATCTTTACAATATAAAATATGCATTGTCCTTAAATAAACCATAAAGGATTGATAATCTGTAAAAAATATAGCCAGTTTATATCCAAACAAATTTTCACCTATATATCTATAGCATTTTTCATCGCAAAAGAAAGTTTTCTCTTACAAAAGAAATATTGCTTAAATAAGTCACAAAGGGTTGAAAAATCTGCCTCGTCAATTTATATCCAAACATGATTTCAGAATATGAAACTAGTCACCAAACTTTTCACACGCAAAAGTAATAAAGATTTTTTTATTACAATCCAAAATATATATCGGCTTTAAATAAATCACAAAAGGATGATAAGCCGAAAAAAAAAAAAAACAAATCATTCTGTCAATTTCAAATGTAAATGTTTCAGAATATAAAACGAACTTTTCACACGAAAACTAGAAAGATGTATTCTTACAATTCAAAATATGGTTTGTCATTAAGTAACTCACAAAGTTAAGCCGTAAAAAAACAAATCATTCAGTGAATTTCAAATCTAAACTTGGTTTCAAAATAAAAAAACAAAACCAAAGAATAGAAAGATTTATTCTTACAATCTAAAATATGTATCGTCTTTAAATAACTCATGAAGGGTTGATAAACCGTAAAAGATCATTCAGTCAATTTCAAATCCGAACAAGATTTTGGAATATAAAGTGATTTAACCTACTTTCAACTAGCAAAGAAAATAAAGATTTATTCTTACAATGCAAAATATCTTATGGCTTTTCATAAGAGTTCAAGAAATTAATCATTCTATCAATTTCAAATTGACTGAATAAAACGAACGTTTTAAAAAAAGAAAGATTTATTGTTACAATTCAACTTATGTTTTACCTTTAAAGAACTAAAACGATAAACCGTTGAATTATTCAGTCAATAAAAAGTTAATTTCTTTTTTTAAAGAGTGAAACGTTCCACTTTCATATTCTGAAACCCATTTAATTTGAAAAAAGGTGACATTTTGATAGAATTTATATATTATTCTCGTTTTTACGTCCTTGCTGAATTTTTATGACAACTTTGACTTCAGTCACTGGGTCGTTATTTAAACTGAGGCCCATAAGATATTTTGCATTGTGGTAACGAATCAAATCTTTTGATACATGACTGAGTTGAAATTTTTTTCCCGTAGGTTAAATCAGTTGCGATATTCCCAAATCCTACGATTTACCCATAGCTTGGGGGGGGAGAGAGAATTCATACCTTTCCCAAGGGTATTAGCACCTAAGTGAATGTAATAGATTTGAATGCATTCCTCAATCCAAACCGCTATACATTATTCCAACGTGCCTCCTAACTGAATTATGTACCGTGCGTGATACACGCTTAGCCGATCATGTAACGATACATGACTGACGAGACAGAATTTTCCCCGCAGTAGGTTGCCATTTCTTTCTGCAGTAGACTAGTTGCAATCCAAGTCTGTCCTATTTACCCATCGCTGGGGAGAGAAGAAGAGGATTCATACCTTTCCCAAGGGTATTAGAACGTAAGTGAATGTAATGGATTCGACTGGAATTCGAACTCGGCTCTCCAATTCCGCAATCCTAGCCGCTATCTACTACTCCACCGTTCCATAACTAGATTGATTAAAACTACGTCTAATTCCCATGATACAAAAACCGAGTCTCAGACTAGTTGCAAGCTAAATTTTTATTCCGACTCCGCGCAATATATTTTAACCTCAAGTCTAGAGAGATCCAACTGAAAATGTGTAATTACACTCAACAATATGGCGTTAAAATTTGAAAATGAAATTAACCTAAACTCATGTCTGAACACCCATTTATTTTATTTTTAGTTTTGCTCATGGGTCATTGCTGGTGCTTCAAACTCGGTGATCAAATTGGAAATCGAAGACTTCCATACTGAAATCTACGACCAACTGGCCATTGGTGTAGGGTTGGATCCCCACGGTAATGCTTCCTCGGCTTTAATTCGATTGTTTGGGAAAGTGGACACGCCCCAAGAAACAATCATCCCTGCTAACGCCCTCTGGTTTCAGTTTCGCAGTGACGAATCTGTAACAGAGACGGGATTTGATATTCGCTATCAGATAATTGAAAGGCGTAAGTATCATAATCAATATATCCTTTTATTTATCTCTCTCTATAAATACATCTCTTCCTCCCACTCTCTCTCTCTCTCTCTACCAATCTACCTCTCCCTCTCTTTCCTCCCTCCCTCTATCTCTCATATAGTAAGGTTGATCAATAAGTTTCGACAGTTTTATTGTATCGTGTTTCATGTGAACAATGGAGAAAAGTTAGTCTAATACAGTGCTTCTAAAACTATCTTAATTTGCCGGACCGGCATTTTTTCCTCAGTGTGTCACGTACCTGTAATATTTCGTGGTAGTATTAATTTATACCGGAAACGATATATATAATGAATGTGATAAAAGTTGACTATTTTTTATCTTCCATTTATTTTGCAAAAAATAATTCAATATCAAATTATATAAAAAGTAATAAAAAAAATAAGCAGTTTATTAACAGGAAAATATAAATTATATAAACTTAATCATTACAAATGATTATTCACTATGGCCTGGATTCTGGCCGCGTAGCGATAGCTGATGGTTCGCCTACAGGCACTGGTCCGCGGACGAACCACCATTTTGAGTAGTACTGGTCTAATTGACTTCACAAAAGAGATCTGATGAGCTCCACCCTTTAGTTCCACAAGTTCATGCCTTTTTACCGAAGATTCTCTACCATACGTTTACGGAATCGAAACACCTACACACCCGCTGAACAGTATAAAATTTAACCTCTTCAAGTCAAGAATGAATCTCTGTCTATCCTCCATATCCTCATAATTTTCATTTATTTCTACCTCCTCTTAGACATACCTCATTGAGTAATCCTATACCTTGAGTGGGCCTTGTATTTGGTGAACTATAATAAAAAAATATTTTGAAAACGTTAGTGCAGAACAAATATATTTTTTCACTGTCATGAATTTATGAACCCTCAACCCATATACAGGATAACTGCAAAAAATGTTTTTTTGTAAAAAACTAAGATATTCTTTAATATTTCCCCTTTTCTAGCAAGATTAATGCTCGACAAACGTACATATAAGTTTTAGATTAAAATAAAATTCTTTTCATTTTTCATTCAAAATACTCTATTTTAGGAATATGTTTTCACGACATCGCCCACGTGACGCCCACGTGACGCCCACGTGATCATATTGAAACGGAACGCTGATCTTGAAAAATTTCAGTTGTCTGTTTTGATTAGTCATTCAGTTATTTGTTTGGATAAGTCTTGTTCTTATGTGGGAACGTCTTAAATGTAGGATTAGGTCCTTCACCACTGATTTCAGCAAACGGCTCGCTCTAGATAGAACTGAAAAGGTGAAGACGCTTAAAGCTAGTTATTCCCGGGCGGTGGCTGGGGGGGATCCCCTAGAGATAGCCTTAGGTAAGGAGGCCCTGGATCGATCGAATAGCGAGCGGTACATGGGTCAGGTAATTAGACATAAGTTAAGCAAGATGTCTTCCGAAGCCGTGAAATTGGGCGCAGATGTGCACAGGGAAGAGGTCCGTCGAGGTGGCGATCGTTACATTCGTGAAGTCAAATCCCCGGAGGGGCCTACTCTTCGGGCCACTGACGACATGTGCGGAGCGTTTCGGCGCCATTTCGAGAACCGGTTTACCAAGGAGCCTGGTCTCCGTGAGGAGGAGTTTCGTAGCTATTTGGCTGACTTTCCTCGGCTTTCGCTGACTGAAGCGGCTAGCTACGAGGGAGAGATTACGGAGGGCGAAGTCTACGCGGTTTTGAAGAAGGTCGGCAGGGCAAGTCGCCCGGTCTGGATGGTTTGCCTTATGAATTGTACTTGAGGCTGTCGCACATCTTTGTTCCAATTTTGACTGCAGTGTTCAACAACTGGTTTCGGTCGGGGTTCATCCCCAACCGGATCACCAGGGGTGTCATCACTCCGTTGAAAAAGGGCAAAGGTGATTACAGGCCCATAACTCTGCTAAACACAAAGTTAAAGATTATGACCAAGATCCTGCAGGAGCGTTTGCAGTCAGTTGCCGAGTCTCTGTTGGGACCTGAGCAGACTTGTTCTGTGAGGGGCCGAACAATTCAGAGCAACCTGCATCTGATCCGCACGATCATAGAGGGTGTAAAAGACGACGAAGAATCCGTGCTGATCAATTTGGATCAGTCCAAGGCATTTGATAGGGTCGACCATCGCTACCTTGCTGCTATCCTGCAGGCCGCTGGATTCGCACCAAACTTTTGCCGCTGGATTAGCCTCTTGTATCGCTCCCCGGTGGTACAGGTGAACGGAAGGTTGTCGGACGCGTTCGTGCTGTCTAGGTCGGTTCGTCAGGGTTGTCGGCTGTCGCCTCTCCTTTATGCTTTGGCGTTGGAGCCTCTCCTTCGCCGGCTGAAGGACAAGACCGGCAGTCCGGCCCTATGTGGAATTGCCGTTCCTGGAGGGTCTCGAGCCAGGGTTTCCGCGTACGCCGATGACGTATCTGCTTTCGTGTCGTCCCGCAACGACATTGAGGCGGTACAGAAGGCGCTTGATCGGTACGAGAAGGTGACAGGGGCCAAAATAAACCGCGACAAGTCGTCCGGCTTGCGGTTAGGTGCCTGGAAGGGGGTCGCTCTTCCGGGCCGCTTCGGTTGGACAGACGGTCCTGTCTGCATTCTTGGAGTGTGGTTTGGGCCTGACCTCCAGCTGGAGAAGAATTGGTCTGAAGTACGAGCAACGGTCGATTCCGCCGGTCAGACTTGGAATCGACGGAGGTTGTCCGTGAAGGGCAGGGCGGAGGTGTGTGCTACATACATTTTCCCCCTGATTCTTTATCGATTGTCCGTTCTTCCTCTCTGTAAGACCCACAAGAAGGCGCTCGAGCGCTCGCTATCCTCCATTTTATGGAGGGGACGCGGGAATCGGGTCGACAGACGAGTCTGCACTAAACGTCCGTGTCATGGGGGGCTGTGAATGCCGCACTTGCCGAGTCACATCCGTGCCTCTAGGTTGGCTTTCCTACGCCGCGCATTGACTGGAGGAGATCCTATTCTGGAGGGGATTGTTAGGGACGCGTTCCCTGGCCTTACCATCAGTCCCCCCATCTCGCGGGTTGAGCGCAGTCGTAAACCCCGGGATCAATCGGTTTTCCTTCGCGAGTGTCGGTCGGCCTTGAGGGCCGTTCCCCGGTCCATGTCGGAGGGGGAGTTTCGCTCCTACTGGTCTTGGGCGCCAGCGGCGGATTACCTCAGTAACCCTGAGTTTTCGCTTAGCTGGCGATTGGCTCGGAATCGGCTGCCTCTCAACGACAAGGCTTTCATATGGGGCTTGGCGGATTTGCCAGACTGTGAACGGTGTGGCCTTGGCTTAGAAGAAACGGCTGCTCACGCCTTCTACCATTACCCCCGGGTCCGCCCCTTATGGGACCATGTCGGCGAGCTGACGGCTCGTCTCGCTCCCGAACAGCTTGTGTCCATTGATCGCGCATACGCGTGTAACAATGTGTCGCCCCCGTATTCCGGGATGAAACGGATGGTGTTTCTGACGCTGATGGCCACGGCTCGAATGGTGATTTGGACGACGCGAAAGGAGGAAGTCTTGCCGAGGCAATCGTCTTTCTATTCGGATCTAATTCGATTCTTTGAGCATCAGTTCAAGATGAAGATTAGATCGGATAGAAAACGATTGCATTCGACAGTCTTTAGCGAAAGGTGGGTAAAAGAAGCGAGCTTGCTTCGTGTGAACGGGGGACTAGCCTTTTGATTTTCTCTTCTAGGTCAACGTATTGCACATCGGGGTGGCTTTCCTGTGAACCCTCCCTTGGTTAGGTTAGACAAGCTTCAGTGTACCTAGTTAATGTGAGTAAGTGTTGTTCCTGGCCTGCATCCCGGCCGTTCTTGGTTATGATCCAAGTCGAGATTCCCAACCTCCCAGTTTGTTTTGCCCCCCTTCATCATCTCGACTGGGTCAGTTTTATATTTTCCCATTCCAGCCTAATATTTTATACTTTTTCCCACTCCCTTAGCGAGAGCGTCTCTTGATTTTGTCCCCTGGGTAGAATACAGCGGTCTCTCTGTTTTATGGGTTGGACGGTCCCTACTAACATCAATTATGTTTAGTTTGGATTTGTGTTTATTTTAAGTATATTATTGGGTTCATTTCCTCCCTCTCATTTTATCATTATTAGAATTGTATATATATCATCATTAAAATTTTTTATGGCATGGGGCGCGATTTTGGTAGGTCTCCCTTGAGAGCACGTGGTATTATGGTGGTTGAAGGATTGTTTGGTGTTGGACGAGTTCTTTTGGTGAATGAGTAAAATGTAATGTACGAATGGGTCGCGAATCTGATTAGCTAGGTATAAGATAGTTAGTGTTGACCAGCCTCTACCCCTCCCCTTTATTGGCCTCCTGCCACAATCTGTACTTTTTGTACGAATAAATATCAGTCTTACTCTTATGTCCATCGTCTTTTCATGTTGAATTAAATATATTCTAATGTTAATTATGTTTTATAAATATGTCATTATATTAACATTAAAACAGCATAATTGCTTATTAGGATTTTTGTTTGTTTTTACGTATATTTTTCTTTATATATATATATATATATATATATATATATATATATTTTTTATGCCACATAAATATATATGTAAATATTCTATATTATATATATACATATAAATGTTCTATGTAGTGAAAATATTACTGAGATTGTGAGATATATTGTGAGACTGAGATTTATTATAATAAAAATTATGTAACGGTCAATCTCTACCCAGCACCTGAAGATTGCGTCGTGCATGAAACTTTGAGTCGTGCTACTGGTGAGGGATAATATGTACATTTATTAATATATACTCAATAGCTCTGTGTATTACATTAGTACAATTTTATTAACATAATATAATATAATAGCTCACAACACACACACACACACACACACACACACACATATATATATATATATATATATATATATATATATATATATATATATATATATATATATTATATATTAGTTTTCCCCACGATCCGTTTAGGTGAAACCTAGGTAGGTTTGTCTGGCTCACTAGGTCTATCTATCTATCTATCTATCTATCTATCTATATATATATATATATATATATATATATATATATATATGTGTGTGTGTGTGTATAAAGTTTTGTTAAATGAGCACAACTCTTCCATGCTACATTTTCATGGTTCACTTGGCAATTTCTGAACGGATTCGTTGCGTTCAGTTTTGCAGAACTACCTTTGGAAAAGCTATGTGTACAATGGGTTAAGCTCGCTATTGTTATGACTTCAAAACCAGTTTGGCAATTGATCTCGGTAAAAAAAACAAAACAAAAAAAACTACTTTCTCCAGCAACGCACAGCAGCAACCCCTAATTTCTTGCGGTGATATTCTTATGCTCCACCTTGTGAGTCTAATGTTACTATGGATGAATATGTGTTTCAATTAATTCAGGATTAAGCGTACAGGTAATACAGTATTGGATATAAATATTTGTCCATATTCTAAAGTAAAAGGCGTATCAACAATACTTGCATCCTATATAACTCTTGCGCATTTACAAAAGTCTGTATACGATCGTAGAGATGACAATTATTATCCAGCAACATATTAACAGCTCTTGCATAATTTGTCGTAATACAGTAATATTTTTATGTCGACTAACTGGATGGGTATTCATTTGCTCAAGTTTAGCAAGGACACCCTGATGCACTTAATTGAAACAACTCCTTTAGATTCCTTTCTTTCACGGCACGATCAGATTTAGACCTACTGGAATGACAGGCTGTAATCGATTTCTATTTTTTTTTCCTCAGATTAGATCATTTGCAGTGGTGTGCAGTAATATGACTCTCTTTTCGGGGTGTATGATGAAATTTGTTTGGCCTTGAAAAATATTGTGTCATCCGTGATTGCATCAGATTTTTATCACACCCAGACACTATTGTCTCGACTGTCGATTAAGTGTTCTACGGCCACTGTCTGCGATGCACTCTACTACAAGGAAGCGTATGATAACTGTAATGCTGCACAAACACACTGGCCTTACCAGGGATCAAATGAAACTACTATAGACGTAAAATCTCTCCTGATTTAAATCCAGTTGAGAATCTGTTGTCAATCTGCAAGGAACGACTTCGTGGAATGGACATACGAAGAACTAACATGTGCACTGGGTCATGTTTCATTGGAAAAATACGAAAAAAGTCAATAATAACAGAATTACTGGTTTTCTTTCAATTAATTTGTACAAGGGTGTATGTTACGCGCTGCTTTCCTCTTTCCCTCACTCTGCCCCGTGAATATCAGTTTTACAAGCTTTCCTTCCTCATTATATGCTCCAGAAATTTCAACTGTCTCTTCCTGATGTTAAGTATTAGTTTCCTTTAGTTTCCATTTTCTCTAAAACCTTGTTGTTCCTCACATATTCGGTCCATGGTATTCTCAGCACATTTTTGTAGAACAACATGTCTGTTGCTTCAAGTCTCTTCTTTACCTTTGAGGAGATTGTCCAGCATTCACTGTTATATAGGAGGGCAGATATCACGTAACAGTTACTCTTTTCTATGTTTCTAACAAAATTTCCCTGTCTTCTAATACTCTGCTTAGCTTTTGGAACGCACCTTTGACCATCCTAATACGGATTCGGATCTCAGTATCACATTTTCCGTCCACTGTTAGAACACTTCCCAGATATTTCAATTTCTATGATCGCCTAATCCTTGAAGGGATACGGCACATAGAAGAAGAAGAAGAAGAAGAAGAAGAAGAAGAAGAAGAACTGGACAAGTCAAAGTACCGTCCCATCATATCCAATTGTGCGTCATATTTGATGTCGACTATTTTTACTGTCAAACATCTTGAAAAGTATGTTTTTGTAGCCTGGTTATTATGAGGATGATCATTTTTTTGGTATAAGCGCAACTTGCTTTCCTCCTGCCGGAATGACAGCAGAACAGGTCGAACAATGATCTGGGTATATACGTTGTATTTCAACGTTCCCGCCACAAACACCAAAAGTGAGCGAGAATTTAAACTTTTTACACCAGATACTATAATGCTAGAGATTTAGCCTCTATGTTATGGGGTGAATACTAGTCACTGGAAGATGTTAATCCCCCTAGTCTACATCGCACACTCAAATGACCATCAATATTAGTCACAACAGAACATCAGTTGATCAACAGATAACCCGCTCCGGACGCCACTGGAGATGCGTACGACGGTATTGAAACGTTACTGGAAGTTTGAATAGAAGCGTGTGTGCCTATTTTCCTTCTGCAAATCATTGATTCTCAATGGCTGTTATAATAATGTTCATTTGACTATTGCTGCCAACATCGAAGCGTCATTGACACTTAGCAGTTCTCCCCGAAATAACCGTCCAGCTTCTCGAAAGTTTACAATCACACTCAAATAGACCTAATGAATCAAAACGACCACGTGAGCTCTTCTGTGATATGACATCTGTTTGAACTGGACTCTTCAATGACAATGAGATTTATCGCAATAAGTGTCACTGTCAAAAGCTCAGACACAGACGGTGCAGTCGTATGAGTGTTACTAGATAACAAGATTGTTAAAAAAAAAAAAAAAAAAAACTTTTAGCAAAATATGCTGCCTCCTCGTATCCACGCAATATTCTTCTGGGTATTACAAGTTTATTTTCCACCAGTACATACAAATTCTATCTGCTCAGAGATCCGCTTAAATAAAAGGAAAATGTTTTAACAGCATTTAATTGACTTAAATGAATGATTCATTGATTCATTTTCTACGGCTTATGAACCCTTTTCAGGTTATTTAAAGACAGAAAATATTTTTAGATTGTAAGATTTTTTCGAGGTAATGGTTTAGACTAACTAATTAACCAATAGCAGGGGGGAAAGAGGTGGATTCATACATTTCCCAAGAGTATTTGCGCGTAAGTGAATATAACGAACCCAACTGGAATTGGAACTTGGTTCTCTGATTAGCAATTCCGAGCCATTATCCATTATACTACCCGCAAATTCAAGCTTACAGCGCCTGGTATTCCCAGTCGGTCACTCATCTAGGTACTGACCAGGCTCGAAGTTGCTTAACATCAGTGATCTTACGGGAACTGGCGTTTCAAAGTGCTATGTCCATAAGCCTTGACTTAAATAAATACGATGTAAGAATATTTAAAACTTGGATTGGGATGCGTCATTTTCTAAGATTTTTTTGCTTTCAAGTTATTTTTCGCTCAGGCGTTGACCACTGGTATCCGGTATGAATGCATAACATTCTCAGACAGGAAGCATGCACTATAAGTATCTATAAGGTTAGCCTTGAACTGGCACGAGGTTAGATATCCGATACCGTCTGTCAAGTTGTCGCAGAATAAGCAGCGAGATCGAAAATTGACCTTGACGAACTGAAGTTTAGATGCCAGATCAGGACCAATTACATTGCAGACCCTTCTTTGAATTTTGTCAAGAATCTCAAGAGCACCAAATCCAGATATGGTAATAATATTCAATGCACGCATGAGTGGTAGATTTATAAATGTGTAAGATGACACAATGAACCAACATTTCTAGCAGAAAACCTAGCTATTGGTTTAATAAGATCACTCCACGTCTTGACTCAATGTACCTTCTTGGTCTCATTGAGTTGAATAAATCATTCTGGTTTATTGATGTGCTTAAACAACTTGTAAATGGGGTATAGTGAAGCCTATTAAAGAGGGTTCCGTCCTCATAGCGCTCACCAGGGTTGACTTGCTGGCAAATATTTTCTACTTTTCGGAAACTTCACCTACTCCCTCCTGTCAATTTGTTTAGGAAAAATCCTAAATCACAACACGAAACCCACACTCGTCCCAGACTAGAAGATGGTCGCCTCCAAGTGCTGTCGTACCCCTTATTAAAGGAAGCCATTCTTGCTCTCCTATTAAACGAGCATCATCGTATATCGCTACAATCTACATTATCGTTAAGATGTAAGAGACTCACTTTTTCTTGTCTCTCGGGTGGGTGATTATATATCTACTTGCCATACGATTTTCCCTACGAATGCACATCTTAAGCGCAGCTGAGTTGGCCATTTGTCGAGAAGATTGACTGACATTGAATGAAGTGCAGATCTAAATTGGTGACTAGGAGGCCATCTTTCAGGATATCACGCTGAACAATCTTGTCGTAACATTGACTGCCAATCAATTTTGACAAACTTATGCTTGAGTCATGTTCTACCTTATCTTTTAATATGTCTACGCAAAATGAATATAGTTTCAATGATCTGCAGGAAATGTAAGAAATATCGGCGCGATGAATGGAAATAGTGTGCAGAGTCCATGTTGCGACTGTCCAATTCTCACTAATACCCTTGGAAAAGGCATATCTCTTCATCCAGATATCGGTAAAAAAGCTCATGTCTTTGTTTGGTATCCAATTTAAAAGAAAAAACTATAAATTCAAAACTTCGTAAATAATATATGTAATAAATGTAGCCGTCTCTTCTTCTCCAATAGATTCATGTCTCGCACTTCTCGCCTGTGGAACTCCCTTCCTATTACTTGTTTCCCTGATAGCTATAATTTCCAACTATTCAAATTTAATGTCAATCGACGTCTTCAGATGCCTTGATCTATCCCCTATCTTTCTCTTCATCCTTCCTCTATCACTCCTCTTTGCCCTCGCTCCAACTCTCTGTAATCTCTTGTAACCCCTTGCATGCTCGTGGCTTCCCGCCTTGCTTGGGGTGAAACGCTAAAAAAAATAAGGCAGACTGGGCTCTTTAGCCCTGGTGGGGAAATCAAAAGCAAAAATCTTAATTCACAGCCAGCCTGAAGAGACAAAATCACTATTGACATGACTGGACTAAATGTGATGCCCTAATGACTCTAATGGGTTATGGACACGTGCTTCAATTGATTTTAATATTATTTTGTCTAGATCACTTAAAACAAGATCTTAATAGTTTAGTCTTCAATGTTGATCATTTTAATCTCATCTTTGATTCTGTATATTATTTTATCTCAACTAGACATTTGCAAATGTGGAGGAGATGTTTCCTCTCGCCATGGAGTCCTTCAGTCAGAGAATTATCCCCAGGAATACCCAATTAATAGTGAATGCCGATGGACCATAAGCGGAGATAAAGGGTCACACATTATTCTGCACTTTCTCCATTTTCACTTACAGGATGAACACGACTTCCTTCTTGTAGGCCAGGGTAAGTATTTACTAGAATAAGACATATTTTTAAATAAATTTGTTTTTCTTCTTTCTTAAGCTTTTACGCGTTTTTCTCACTGGTTTCCCCATACTTTCGGCCTTGTGCCACATCTAAGCTACGCTTAAAAACCATCATTTGGTCAGATTTTGTGAAGTGGGTCAGGCCATTAATTATATATATATATATATATATATATATATATATATATATATGTGTGTGTGTGTGTGTGTGTGTGTGTGTTGGGTTTTATGCCCTTCGACAATTATGTCTTCGCAGAGGACCGGTTTCGTTGGCTCGGTCACATCCTGATGACCATCCTACCAGAATCATTTACCAGTTTCACCCGCTATCTCCAAAGTGGAGACGACCTCAAGATAGACCATCGTCCACTAAGACCTCCAGCAGATTAATCTGATACTTGAGGATGTTCCAACGCTCTGCCAAGACACTGAGTGTTGTAGTAACAAAGTGGCTCTCTAGTGAGCTCAACGCCTACATGGCTTAATATTTAACAGATTATAGCTTACTTATATGAATAAAATAAAACCGTCAATGACAACTGACGTGATGATTGATCGATGTGTTTTTTACGGTTTAGCTAGAGGGAAGATGGATTCATGCCTTTTCCAATGGTTTTTGCGCGTAAGTAAATATAACGAACTCGACTGGAATTGAAAGTCGGTTCATCGATTTTATAATTACGAGCCGTTATCCATTACACCACCCGCACATCTAAGCTTACAGTACCTGGTATTCCTAAGCAGTCACACATTCAGGTACTGACCTGACTCGATGTTGCTTAACTTCGGTAATCGTAAGAGAGCTGGTGTTTCATCCTGATATGGCCGTAAGCCAATTGATACCTTGAGTATATGGCTATTATTTCCGCTACAGTTAGAGTAGAGGTTCTAATACCAACAAATAAATTTTCTTTTGTTTTGTACATATTTTTTCATTGCAAATCTTCATTAAGGATATTTTAATTATTACTAAGAATATTTCCGACTCCCAACAAAAGTTGTATATATGCGATTAGTTTGGTCTTAATAGAGAAATTTGGGTATTTTTGTGTCTGTTTTACGAATGAGAAGTGTCAAGGTGAATATTTGGCAAAAGTAAAGTATATGGTGTTCCAATAACAAAATTAACAGTAAAGAAAAAATATATATATGTATGTTAGGTAACTGAGGACAAAATAATTTAAGAAACATAAAAATATTCGATGGAATAAATAAACAGGGTATTTGTAGATATATTCAATTTAGAGAAACAGAAACGATTTATTTAAAAAAAAATACCCTTAACCTTTGTAGCAGACTCGGAAGAGGCCGCTTTGTGTCGCTGTTTTTTATACTAATGTTCACACAATTCAAGAGGCACTCAAGGTAAATGGTTACTGTGTGGTGTTGTATGAGAGTAAGAAAAGTCAAGAAATGAAATTCATGAGGTTATGCAGGAAAATATATATTTTTTCTTTACTGTTAATTTTGATTTTATTTTTTATTTCTTTAAACTTCAAGTTATCGAAGCCTATTACGAAAATGGACGTTCAAACCGAAATACATTTAGCGCACTTCGCGATTTTTTTTGGTCTGCATAATCGAGCAACTGAGAGTGCAATTGGAAACGATGTAACGTTGTTGTGGAGAGGTTCTATTCCTGCGCACGATAACGAATAGAGGGGTCTGGATTTTCGGCCACATTCTCGTGCACTGCAACAATGTTTTCAGCTGAACGTACGCCGTTCAGCTGAAAACATTGCAGAGATTGGTGTTTTCACACCGACCCGGTTTGTTTGAATTTACGAACAATTTTTCCAATTGCACTCTTGAAACTTTAACACGTTGTTTGATTATTAAACTTTCCATGGTTAAAATTGCCAAAGACTTAAGTTGTTAAGTCCGAATAAAAAGAAAAAATTATTATATGCTTAAACTTAATTCACATTTCAAATCGGTTCAAGTTATTAAAACACCCTTTATATATATATATATATATATATATATATATATATATATATTAAGCATTTCACCCCAAGCAAGGCGGTGCCACTACTACGCAAGGGGTTACAGAATGGGAGCGAGAGTGAAGAGGCGTGATGGAGGAAAGGATGAAGAGAAGGACAGGGAATAGGTCAGGGCATCTGGAGATATCGATTGACATTACATTTGAATAGTTGGAGATTATAGCTATCAGAGAAACAAGTAATAGGAAGGGAATTCCACAGACGGGAGGTGCGAGACATGAAGCTATTGGAGTAGAAGAGACGGCCACATTTAACCGTTTCGACAGTGAAAGGGTGGGTCCGTGATGCTAGCCTAGTAGCACGCTTAAATTCATGCAGTCTGGGAACCAGCGAAAGTAGCTCGTCGGAGGAGTTACCGTGAAAGTATTTGTAAAAAAGACAGAAGGAGGCGACGGCATGTCTGTGAGAGAGCGACAGTAGACCAGATGCCAGATCAGGACCAACCATATTGCATATCCGTCTCTGGATCTTGTCGAGGATCTTAAGGTGAACAGCGGGGGCACCAGACCATATATGAAAGCAGTATTCTATGCAAGGTTGAATGGTTGATTTATAGATTTGAAGGATGGACTCGTGCTCAAAAAACTTTATGGCACGACAGAGGGAACCAATTATCCTTGCAGTGGATGAATCCATTGATTCAATGTAATTATTCCATCTCCGGTCAGCGGACAGTGTGAGTCCAAGCAGTCGCAAAGAGGTACTCTCGTGGAGCTGATCATCAGACATTCTAATGGGTGGCAGGAATGGTTCCCTGTGGTGAGTAATGGAGAGCAGTTTTGTTTTAGAGGCATTAAAGTTAACCAGACAATTCCTGCCCCAGTCTACAACCGATTGGATGTCCTTTTTAGTTTTGTCATCAACGCTATCCTCGTAATCGATTTTGACTTCCGCCTCATGTTTATATCGCACACCTCATTCAGTAACCCTCTATTTTGAGTTGCTCTTGGGCCTTGTATTGAGTGAAAATTAGTCAAAACAATAACTTTTCTGACTGACCTCTGACGTATTTTTAATTATTTTTTCTCTTTCTTTATCAAGGTCCGGATGTTTTTGTTGGTAATTTTACCCAGTTCACTGGTCGAATTGAGCACACCAAGATTATGAGGATGAAAATGAATTCCGTGTGGCTTCACTTCACGTCCGATCATGTGAAAGGCGACACATTTTATAACGGCTTCAAATTAGCCTACAACATCGTAACGGCCGAGACAAATTCACCAGCAGGTAAATTCTTGTCGATAAATCCAGAAAGTTTATCATATTTTTACAAATGTTAGAAATATAATCGCAATGTTTTCGCTGATTAATCTCCACTCTTCATCGCATGAAACAAAAATGATTTCCGTCTTGGGTATTACGATAAACTACATCCGCGTCCTTGAAAAGACGATAAACTACGTTCAACAACGAGACCTCTTATCAGGAGATTTTGAGGAGCGTGGAACCACCTCTTAATTGCTGGTGTTCCCAGGTCCACTCTGACCCGGGGTGGTAGCACCTGTTAGGGTCCCAACTATGGGCAAATAGTTGACCCTCTAAACTGGGGTCAAAACACAATGAAAGTGTAAAAATAGGTTTTAATACCAAAATACTTTTTGTAAAAATTATTACCAGAAATACATTATTACCAGCTATACATTTTTGAAGAAAATATTACCATCAATAGATTTTTGAAGAAAAAAAATATTATTGGTAATAGTTTGGTTTGGTATGGTTTGGTTTGTTTTACGGCATATCAACCTAAATGGGTTATTTAATGCCGACAATTTTTTTATTGCTGGTAATATTTTCTTTCAAAATAAACTATAGTTGGTAATATCTTTGTATTGCGGGTAATAATTTTTACTAAGTATTACTGGTATGTATTAAAACCTATTTTTACACATTCATAGTGTTTTGACCCTAGTTTGGGTGTCAACTATTTGCCCATAGCTGGGACCCAAACAAGTGCTAGAGCCCCGGGCCAGGGTGGACCTGGAAGCACCAGCAATTAAGGGGGGGGGTTACACGTTTCTCAAAACCTCATGATCAGAGGCCTTGCTGTTGGATGTAGTTTATCGTCTTACCCAGGACTCTACCAGCAATAGATTTTTGAAGCAAAACAATATTACCAGCAATAGATTTTGGAAGAAAAAAATATTGCCAGCAATAGATTTTTGAGGAAAAAAATATTACCAGCAATAAAAAATGTTGTCGGCATTAAATAACCCACTCAGGTTGAACAAAGCAAACCAAACCAAAACAAAAATGATTTACCTTTTAACTCCGTTCAAAATAATTTCACGCGAAAGTCATTAACCTACCGTGCCCCCCACACACACACTCACATACAAGGAATAGACGACATATAAATGTTGAGTCAATCAATTGAATACAATCGACTATTGTCCAAAAATTTCCCTAATGCCAAATTTAAATTTGCTAAGAAGGAACAAGTAAATACAAACGAATAAAGTGATGTGGTGTCATCCCTTTTGGCTATGCACTACCATTTTGCGGATCCTCAATTACGCTCTAGCACTCGTTTAAGCATTGCCCCACCCCTGTTTTATATTATCATTTTATACTAGCATCTCCTGCTCTATAGAGCATACAGGGTGTGGCTGGCCTCTCGCTGTTCTATTGCTATTACCATGAAAAGTGCTTGAGAGAACTGCATCTCCTAGTTCCACCAAATCTGACCTAGACCATGCCGCCCGCTTACATAGTAGTAAACCAGCCTCATTCCCCTCGTATTCCATCGGTAAGAAGTAAGTTCTACTCAAACAGCTTCTTTCTACGAACCACTTCCCTGTGGAACAGACTCCTAAGAGGTTGTTTCCTATTACTACAATCATAATCTGTTCAAGTCTAGTGTATCTTCCCCCTCCTATCCTGAGGAGGATCCATGTAAGTTGAAAGCTTGGAACAACACAAAATATCCATTGCTTTTAACAACATATATTTTAAAAGTGCTGCTGAAATATACGGAATTTAAATAATTTTTGATAACAGAATTTTCTCAAGTCTTTCTTCCAAGATTTCCATTATAAAATTTATATCTATATCTTCCCATCGCCTCACGTATTGACTTCCTGACAAAATCCTATGATCCAACCAAAAATAAAAATAAATATTTACGTTAATTTTTTAATTTAATATCGGAATGGTTTAATGTATAGTAATAGGTGTAGATTGTTGTAGATTATATGGTATTTTCTAAGCGTAGCTTAGATATGGCACAAGACCAAAAGTGCGGAGCACCCAGTGGGGATCGAATTCACTATTCAGTTGTAATTGATCTAGCAAGACAAGTATGCTATCACGTCAAAGTGCCCGTAAATGATTTTCTAAGCTTAGCTCAAATGCGGCACAAGGCCGAAAGTGTGGAGCACCCAGTGAGGATCGATCTCACAACTCGATCGTAATTGATCTACAGGTCAAAGAAGAGCAAATCGCTATGTATATTAATGTAAAAAAAATAAATAAAATACTCCAACCAATACATTACCCACGACAACACTTCGTACGTTGATTTATATACGTTCCCAGACAAATTATTGTCACAAGTATTTAAAAATAAAAAATAAAAATTGTCACTAATAATAACTCGTAACCTATTGATACTTTTGTAACGTACGGTGGCCGTTAATAATTAAGTATAACTCAAGACTTCAATGTTAAAATAAAACAGTATTTAATTACAACCGTAAATAATTACTTAACAAGAACAAAGAAGTAAAATTCAACTAAAAATAATTATCAATTTCAGTGAATATCTTGTTAGTCGCGCGTATCGGCTTAACGTCCGGTAAATCCTAAATCAAAACCCAAATCATGAACGAACAATAATTTACACTAATTTGACTGGATAGTTCGACTCAATAATCACTCAATAATCTCTGCAGTCAGTAGCCTGACACCGCTATTTATGTACCTGGCGGAAATCATATGTTCATAAGTCCAGAATGCCAGGCTCGAACCTCGGTGTCGGTAGTTACTCATTTTTTTCCTATATGACAGATACTTACAGATATCAGAGGGGAAGCCTGTCATTTCTATGACAAAAATATATATTTAATCCAAAATAGGATAATATTTACTCCTTTGGGGTCAGTCGACCCAGATTTTTTAGATGGAAAAATAAAATCTAAGTATCGTGCCCACAGATACAACACAAAATTACGCAAAGAAACGATTTTCGCAGAAACCTATCTATCGCAGTCTGTTCATCTTTCTCTTTTTAACTATCTATGCATCCCAGTCTGTTCATCTATCTATCTATCTATCTATCTATCTATCTATCTATCTATCTATCTATCTATCTATCTATCGCAGTCTGTTCATCTTTCTCTTTTAATATCTATGCATCCCAGTCTGTTCATCTATCTATCTATCTATCTATCTATCTATCTATCTATCTATCTATCTATCTCTATCTATCTATCGCAGTCTGTTCATCTTTCTCTTTTTAACTATCTATTCATTTCAGTCTGTTCATCTATCTATCTATCTATCTATCTATCTATCTATCTATCTATCTATCTATCTATCTATCTATCGCAGTCTGTTCATCTTTCTCTTTTTAACTATCTATGCATCCCAGTCTGTTCATCTATCTATCTATCTATCTATCTATCTATCTATCTATCTATCTATCTATCTATCGCAGTCTGTTCATCTCTCTCTTTTTAACTATCTATTCATCTCAGTCTGTTCATCTATCTATCTATCTATCTATCTATCTATCTATCTATCTATCTATCTATCTATCTCAGTTTGTTAATCTCTGTCTTTATCTATCTATATATCTAGCTAGCTAGTCTGTTCATCTCCTCCTTTTTATCTCTCTCTCTTTCTGTGTTTGTATATATATATTTGTTCACTTCTCGTTTTAACTATCTATCTATTTATCTCGGTCTGTTCATCTGTCTCATTTTTCTCTTTTTCTCCCTTTCTTTATTTATCTCTTTCTTTATCTTAGTCTTTTTATCTCTCTTTATCTATTTATATCAGTCTACTCATTTCTTTCTTTCTCTTTCCCTCTCTATTTATTTGTCTACTTCAGTCTGTTTACATCTATCTATCTATCTATCTATCTATCTATCTATCTATCTATCTATCAGATCAGAAGTTGTCTTTTATATTTATTTCATTTTATAATGCTTTAAGTTGGCGATATATACATTCCTTAAAATAAAATTGTAATGACTTTTGTTCATTTAACAAAGACTTCTGTATTTCTAATTTTTACGACGTTACTTGAAACTCCAGTGTAAACAAATCATGCAGCTGAAAAAACAAAATAAAATAAAATAATGAAACCTGCGTAATTTTACGTAGGTGATATAATTTATGTTTTTTCTTTCTATTTTTGTACTCAATCTATCTTAACCTGGTTTCTAATAAGCTAACAAACCATTTCTCAACAGGTACGCCTTGAAAGGCAACAGGGTGCGTCTCAAGTTGACAGAAGATTAATCTATGAATTATTTTTATATTTAAAAAATCATCATTTTTAAATAGGTAGAGACATCAAGCAAATGGCTGAGTCTAAGTCAATCTTTTTCATTTAATATTTTAAACTGGATGCGAAATTCTTTAATCTTTAAAATCAAGTGCAGAATTCTTTTGCTTTCCTTAAGAGATTTAAATCATAACCTGTTTCTCTATAAAATCTTTTTTAAAAAAAGTAGTAAATTCTTCATTTAAATGAAAACCTTACCGCCAATCTTCTTTTGGGATGCTAATCCAAACATTCATGTTTGCAAATTTCATGAGTATTTTTTTTTCCTTTTTAAAATTTAGAGTGCACCCCAAAATTTTTAGTTATCCTACAAGTACGCTCTGAAGTAAAAGAAAGGTTGAGAAAACTGGTCTAACATCTGATCTCCACTTGTTGATAATATCTTACCGATGACAGCTTAAAATCTAGGCATGTCTTGTTGGCAAACTTCTTTTCATTCTTAATTATATTTGATGAGTGTTTATTTCTTCTTAGTTCTTTTCCTTTCTATAAAAAATACCTATTCCACGATCGTTGATGTGGAAATAAAGAATAAAGCTTCGGCAAGACTTGAACTCGCGTACGATTAGGAATCGATATTTTACAGTTGTTACATAAGTAGAGGCACGTAAAGTAATATGTACTGATTAAAGAAAATCAATATATATTTGTAGTGATAGCAACAAATAAATTACTAAAAAACCGCCGAACCTTATTACTATACTATATATTAGTCTGGAATCAAGGTAATTAATAATAAAAGAAAAATGAAAGTTTAAGCAATAAAATTTTAAAAAAAACTGTTGCTTTCCTGTCTGCTGGAAGTCCTCATCTGTTGTCCCAGTTTTTAAGAAATCTGATGAACCGGCCGACCTTTTTAGTTATCGGTCTATTAGCCATCTAACTCTTTTTGGGAAACTCCTAGAGACCCTAATCAATCCTGAATTGATGAAGCATTTCATATCGTAGAATCTTTTTGTCAGACAAGCAATATGGCTTTTGTTTCTCCAGGTCAACTGCTGATGTACTGACAATAATTGCAGAAAGAATCTATCAAGCTCTACATAACAATGATGAAGTCGGTGTTCTAGCTTCGGACATCTCGAAAGCTTTAAACAGGGTTTGGCATACAGGTCTTCTCCACAAACTGCAAAGTTACAATGTCTCTGGACAAATTTTTGAAATGATCCAATCTTTCCTATCAAATTGTAAAATGAAAGTAATCATGAATAGCCACTGTTCCAGTTCCTTTCGTACCTAAGGCACCATACTTGCTACTACCTTGTTTTTAATTTTTATTAATGATCTTCTCGATGGCATCAGCTCTCAACTTGGTATCTATGCTGATGGCCCAACCATTTACTCCTGTCTCGAGAGGAAGTCTAATCAGTTTGCTACGATGAAAATGACAGCTGATATCCAAAACGATATTCAGTCTGTTGTTAACTGGGGCAAGGAATGGTTTCTTAATTTTAACGCCTCCAAAACTAAATTGATCTCTATTAATCATCCAAGAACCTACCTTCCATCAGCTTGACTGATGCTAACCTCTAGGAGAGTGACTTGCTACGCCTTCTTGGGCTAATGTTATCCGCTGACATGAAGTGGAAAGACTATATTAAATTCATTGCTAGGTCAGTTGCTAGAAAGATTGGTTCACTGTGTCTTTCTCTCCAGAGTCTATCATTTATATCTATAAGTCTACCATTCATCCTTAGAATATTGCTGCCGGACACGGTCAGGTGCCCTGCTATTTATCTAGGGCTGCTTGATAAAATCCAAAGAAGAATCAGTAATATTATTAGCCCCGACTTGGCATCTCGGCTTCAGTCATTTTCCCACCACAGTAAGGTTGCCTTACTTTGTCTTTTCTATGTATATTTTCATGGTACTTGTTCATATGAGCTCTTCACTATAGTACCCCTATAATACTCTTTGAAATTCAGCGCATTACTAGACTGGCGACGAGGTCTTACCCATTTACAGTTGAGCTGGCTCTATGTAACCGTAAATTCTATGTTCTAAGTTTCTTCTCTCGCACTTCTCGCTTAGGGATCTCTCTTCTGGCTCCATGCTGTCCAGCCAACTTTAATCTGCAAAAAATTAAATGCAACGTCAATCGCTATCTACTGTCTTCCTGATATATGCGCAATTATCAGGCCACATGTAGCCTGATGATTGCGCTTACCATGGAACAGTCTGTCGCCTCTGAGTTCTGGTTTCAATGTTATATATTTACATATGCTCTATCTCTGACATAAATCACTTTATCCCATAAATATACCATAACTTAAAACTACATATATATATATATATATATATATATATATATATATACAAATGTATATATATATATATATATATTTGTGTATATATACACAAATGTATATAGACACATGTAAATAATGTCTGCCTATATATATATATATATATATATATATATATATATACACTTCAGTCACTTTTCCACCGCCGTAACGTGACTTCCCTGTAGCCTTTTCTATAGTAATTATTCTAATGAACTTTCCTCAACGTTACCTAGACTTTTTATGAATTTAAGTGCAGTGGCAGATTGGCGGTAAGGATTCATCATTTTACAGTTGAAAGGGTTACATGTAACCGTCAGTTTTATGCTAACAGTTTCGTCTCTCCCACTCCTCCTCACTTGGGAAACACTCTTGCAGATTCTTCTTTTCTAGTCAACTCTGTTGTTCAAACATTTAAACGCAATGTCAGTCTTTAATTTCTATCTTTTCAATTCCTCTTCTTTTCTTTCTTTTTACATGATCTTTTTCATATTCTCTCACACTAAGTAACAACTTGCGTTTTTAGTGGATTTATTGCCCTGCTTGGAGTGAAATGATTTATATATATATATATATATATATATATATATATATATATATATTTTATACACACACACATATATATACATATATATATATATATATTGATAATATTAGTGGTAAATATACAGATACATATGCAATATATATATATATATATATATATATATATATATATATATATATATATATATATATATATATATATATATATATACACATTATATTTTTTGAATAAAAATTCCAAGAGGATAGAATACAGGTAGAACTCAATGTCCAGGACAGAGTAAGAATATAATAAAAAGGCAAACACTAATATTGCATGGTCATAATTTATTCCATAAAAATACAAATTCCAAAAAAAATAAAAAAAAAAAAATTAAAAAATTTGTAACTCTGATGAATTGGATCGTATTTACGATTCCTATGGAATAAATTATGACCATGGAATATTAGTGTTTAAGCTTTTATTATATATATATATATATATATATATATATATATATATATATATATATATATATATATATATATATATATATATATATATATATATATATATATATATATATATATATATATATATATATATATATATATAATATATATATATATATATAATATATATATATATATATATATATATATATATATATATATATATATATATATATATATATATATATATATATATATATATATATATATATATATATATATATATATATATATATATATATATATATATATATATATATATATATATATATATATATATATATATATAATATATATATATATATATATATATATATATATATATATATATATATATATATATATATATATATATATATATATATATATATATATATATATATATATATATATATATATATATATATATATATATATATATATATATATATATATATATATATATATATATATATATATATATATATATATATATATATATATATATATATATTACAACAAGCGTTTTACTGTCAATATATATATATATATATATATATATATATATATATATATATATATATATATATATATATATATCACATAGCAACGATTTCATTAACCATATAGGCGTTAGGCTAAAGTAAAATCTTAAATAAAGAGAAAATTAGTTAGATATAAAAGAAAGATAAATAAATAGATAAAAACAGAAATTTAATCCAATGCTTCCGATTCGCGAGCGAATATATTCTATGATCAGCCATACCCCCCTCTTCTCTTCACAAATTTTTTTCTCCTTATCCTCTCTTCCACCCGCCAGCCAAGGGCCCGTGAACTTAGAAGTGACCCGACGCGAGGATGACCTGGTTCTAAGATTTCGCGTTTGACCATGAGTAAACTCCAGACACCATCAGGGTCTCATGCTGCGATTCACGTGATCGGGACGTACGGAGCATGCGTTGAACTTTTGGCCATCACACAAACACTGCGTGATTTGCGCCCTATTCTCCTGCGTACCCGGTCAAGGACGAAGGAACCCACGTGACTGTCTGTGGGGACAGCGAAAACCAAAGAAGGATTTTTCAGTTTCCCTCTGACCAGCGGCAGTTGAACATCGCTGGGCAAAAATCGTCAGACCGCCCACTGAGATGAGGAAGACCACGAAGTCTATCGACCAGTGATTGAACACTTGCGAAAAGAAGAAGAATCCAGGAACATTGTCGGCCGGCCAAGATACTGATTTATCATCAGAACTCTCGCTTCGGTGAATCAAAACTTTGTGAAGATACCAGCCTGACTGCAAGATAAGTTGGTTCTTTTGGCTCGATCTATTT